CCGCCACCTGCTGGCAGTTTTAGTTAAATTTTTAAAGTATCTTTTCTGTTATTTAAATCATTTAATATTTCTATATTCAAAATTGCATACTTAAAACATTAACCTCAACATGAATTTACGAATTTAATTGCACTCATGCGACCTCTGAGCCTCATTAAATGTCTGAAAATACACATACAAGCCACTTGTGTGTTCTTCTGTGCCACCTCTGTAGTACAAATTTATTTCTTAAATACTGATTTCATTTGATTGCTAACTTATTCTTATTCTACTTTTTATTCTGTTGTTGTAATTAGAAATGTTAAAAAGCTTATAATTTTTTTTTTTATTTGATAAATGATGATATACTTAGAAAAAATGCCATTACAAAGGTAAAACAAAATTCCCTCAAATCACTTTAAGGAGTCAAATATCACCTCGTAATGGGAAGGTTAATTTTTTATCAGAATTTTTAATTATTGATTAGAAGGTGCTCCTAAATTTTTTACCATGCTCCTAAATTTTTTTAATTAGGAGCACAAGCGCTCCTAAAAAGAAAAGTAAGCTATTAAAAAAACAGATTATTTTTAAGCAATTTAAGCTTGATTTATACTATGTTGAATGTTCTAAAACAAAATTCAACAGTATCTCTTGAGCTTGGACTGCCTTCTAGATATCTAAATTAGTCCATCCTTCTCTTTCTCTCTGTTTAGAAGTGCTCACCTTTCCCAGCTGTCCAATCAAAGGGCCTTGCTGCCAGGGGGCCCGGCTTCTGTCTAAACACCCGCTGTCGCAGAGACGACCCTGCAACCTTTGGCATCATTTTGACAGACAGCCAGGTGACTGGTTTTAATATTAATATGTCCCCCGTGCTGAGAAGAGATTCTATTTGTGTTCGGCTGAGGGAGAGCAGACGCTTTTTAAAAGTCAGGCAGCAGCCCTCAGTCCTTCACTGTCTCCTCAGGATGAACCGAACAAACATAAGCAAGTGTGAAAAAGAACTAAAGAAAAGTGTGCTCCACACAGCTGTCAATTTATCATTCTCTCTCCCTCACCTTACAGCATCTCATCCTGGTCCTGCCCTACTTCATTCTGGCTCTCGACCCCATCATTCTTCCTTTTTCCTCTTCGCTATTATTTAAATTCTCTGTTCTCTCACTTTTGAAGATACCTCTCTCCGAGTGCTGGACAGGCGTCAGGCCGTTCACACACCCTGCACAAAAAGGGTCCTACTGCACACTCACACTCAACTGCAAAGGTCACAGTAAAGTGCAAATAAATACCAATCCTGCATTATTCAAAGGACAACTTAGCGCTGATAGAAAAAGAGAAAAGGGTTTAAAGGGAAACAAATCTATAGTCTTCGCCTTATTAACTGCGAACACTGTCTCCCAGAACTCCAAAAGAGCTGTGGGACACCTTGATACAAAAGACAAAACTACTAACCAACACTGGAGGACTACAATTCACCTCAACTTCTGAATGGTTGTGTCTCACAAACAAACCTACCTAGACAGCATGAAGGGCATCATTACAGTGTCCGCATGCACTCAACAGGAGCAGGAACACATGCATTCAAATTCTGTTTCTCAAAAGTGTTTCTTTAGTAATAATAATAATAATAATAATTCCTTATGGGTTACAAGAACAGCTAACCAATTTGTTCCCTTCACCAGCCTAACGGTAGCCACAGAATAAGTCATCTTTAGGTAGTAAATAACTGTCCTGCTGACAATTATACAGTATTATAACACACTGGGTGATGGTTTACTCTACAGCTGCAGTAGAGCACACATTAAACCTCCTCATTACACACAACACTGACAGCTTTAAGCCTGTTTGTTAGACATATAGCTAATATTAGTGTACTTGTACAAGATGTATTCTATAGGTCTTTAAACTTGCTTGCACAGCAAGAATGGATTGTCTTGGATTAAACCGTGCTCACGCTGGATAAATAAAGACTGACTCTAGAATGGATCCAATGCACTATAATGAAATGATTTCTAACCCAGTAGCTTGAGAACAGCTCATCAGCTGAACCTGTGTATAGGACGGCATTACTACCACCTCAAAGAATTAGTGACCGGTACTAAACAAATCGAAATATTTGAAATGTTCTTCTTAAAAGTGTTGATCAAGACCATCATCTTACCTCACATTCTTCGGCCTCGATCAGCAGTTTGGCTGTTGTTATTCTGGATTCATAAGGCGGGATGTTGCTCTAAAACAAAAAACAATACAGTAAATATTAACTGAAAGGAAAATTAGTTAGGGATCATAAAATTCTTGATGACGTGATTTGATAAAGAAAATTATGAAAACTTATTTTCCATATGTTTTCATAATGATAGAAAAAAAGGCTATTCTTTAACAACTAATTTACAAAAATTAATTAGAAAATAAATACACTATTCAAAAAATTTAAACCATTCAAAATATTTTTTTTTTACTGTTTTTGATTAAAGATTATGCTCACGAAGGCTGCATTTATTTTTTTATTATTATATTTTAAAATAAATATTTTTCTATTTTAATATATTTTAAAATGTAATGCATTCCTGTATTGGCAAAGCTGATTTTTTTTAAGCAGCCATTACTCCAGTCCTCAGTGTCACATGATCCTTCAGAAATCATTACAATATGCTGCGTTTGTGTTCAAGAAACATTTCTAATTATTACTGAAAACAGTTTTGTTGCTTGATTTTTAATTAATTACAATTATAGGATGACAAGTAGTAGGATAGGACAACAGGATGCTCTACAAGAAGAGGGGGAGTGGTATAGGATGAGAGAAAGTGAGAGAAATTAGGATAACCGGTAGTGGTATGAGATGAAAGGAAGTAGTAAAAGATAAAAGGGAGTAGAATATGTTGAGGATAGGAAAATAGGAATTAGGTTAGGGAGAGAGAAAGTAAAACAGTCTAAAAGGAAGTAGCATATGATGCAAAGAAGCAAGAAAAAGCAGGGCCATTAAAAAGTGGTATACGATGAGAGGAAGTAAGATGATAAGATGGGATGAGAGAAAACTTGTAACAGAGAAAATAGAAAGGGATATAAGAAACTAGGAAGAGGAATAAAATGACAGGAAGTAGAACAGGACACCAGGAAGCTCTATAAGATGAGGGGAAGTGTTGTAGGATGAGAGGAAGTCACAGAGTAGACTGACAGGTAATAAAGGATAAGAGGAAGTAGAATATGTTGAGAGGAAGTAGGTAAGAAACAATAAAATCAGAATGAGAGGAAGTGATACAGGATTTAGAGGAAGTAGTACTGTATAGTATAGACAGAGGAAGTAGCAAAGCATGAAAGGAAATGAAAACGTAGGATAACAGGTAGTAGTACAAGATGAAAGAATGTAGGATAGGAGGAGTGAAAGTAGTAAAGGAGAAGAGAAAACAGAATACATTGAAAGGAAGTGTGATAGGACACAAAGGAAGTAAGTCAGAGTGAGAGAAAGTAATATAAGATGAGAGGAGACCTTACAGCATGACAGGAAGTTCCACTGTATGTTATGAAAATAAGTAGGAAATAGCAAGTGAATAATATGTGGTATAGGATGAGAGGAAGTAGCAAAAAGCATGAATAAGATGAAGCAAGATAAGAGAAATTGGTAAAGGACAAGAGGGAACAATACATGAGATGAAAGGAAGAACAGGATGAAGTGAAGGATCATCGGATGTAGAATATGTTGAGAGGAAGTTACTATGAAGTTGGAATATATGTTGTGAAGTAGGCAATTGTATGGGCAAAAAGCAGTGGTTTAGGATGAGAGAAAATGGTATTGAATGAGAGGAAATAGTAAAGCATGAGAGGAACATAGAAAATAACATGAATAAGATGTACAGGATAAGAGAACGTGGTAAATGACAAGAGGGAGAAACATTGGATGAGAGGCAGTGACATAGGATGAGATGAAAAAGTACAAGCCTGAAAAAGGGTTGAGGTTAGAGGACACAAAGAGACTCCAGTTTATGATTGTTGAGTCAAGTTTTGCTGTCAGCTTTCTGAAGGGAAATGGAAGTGTCTTCTAAAGTGAAAATACCCACAAATGTTACAAGAGCTTTAAGCTGCAGACTGAAGCTCAACTCAGACCTGCTAGTCTTATGTCTGTTTGCCCCCTAGTGGTTCAACGAGGAACTGCATCAAAGCGGGTGTTCGCACTAGTAGTAAATTTGTCCCACATTGACTCATATTCAATAAGCTTGTTTTATTAATGGCTTGTAATTCATTAACTGTGACCTAGCTCTCTCATCTGACATCGTTGTCTATCCCTCATTCAAAAACAAGTGTACATGCCCAAAACCTGCCTTTCTTAGTCACTCGTTCTCTCACACAATTTCTATCTGTGTCTCCTCAAAAATACATGACTCAGCTTTCTCAGCTGTTCTCCTAATTATGACTGCATAATGACCCACTGCTCAGAACGCTGCAGTGAACTAGAGAGACAGTGAGGGAACTCTGGGTAATTCACTCCGCAGTTGTCCTGTCGTATACCTCAGTTTTCTCGATGCTGAACAGGTAGCTGGCCATCAGCTGCAGAGCTTCAGGGTTGTGCTCGTCGTACTGTAAAGCTTTGTCGATGGCCTCTTTGCAACAGTCAGCAGCGCCCTCCTCCATGCTGTCAAACAATAAAAAGAGTAATAAAGCTAATTAAAGCACATAAAAGCCAGTCAGTGATATTAAACACGTGTAAGTACAATATTTTTTTATAAAAACCTGTGCGCAAATATTTTCACAAAGAAATTATAATCAATCAATATCTTAATGAAAAGACAAGAGATATTGAGAAAAGATAAGAAGAGAACAGGATAATCGGTAATGATATAAAGTGAGAGATATAGGATGAGAAGAAGCAATATAGGATAAAAGGAAGCAGGGTAGAATGAGATCAAGTGCTATAAGATAAAAGGAAGTAGGGTCATCATACAGGTTAAGAGCATGTTGGATAAGATAAGAGAAAGCAAGGATGAATGAGAGGTAATAGGAACCAGTATACAATAAGAAGTAGGAGGATGAGATGCGGAACTAGGAAGAATAGAAATGTCATCATTCTTGTCACCAATGTCAATATCACAAAAGTTAATATTAGCCTAAAAAACAAACAAAACAAAAAAAAACTCAAGCTCACTCAAAAGAAGTAAAAAGTCATTGATTAAATAACAATAAGAAACTAATTAAAAGGAATAGGACAAAAACTGCAGTAGAACAAATAAATAAGAAATGCTACATACAATGTATAAATTAATCAAATGTATAAAAACACTGCATATTCCTCACTGTGTAAATGAAATATATATTTCTTCTTATTAAAGCTTATTAAAGTGATTTAGTCAAGAGCAGTGAGAGATTTTCTCTCATTTGTTGTTTGATTAACATGAATGACAGAAAACAAGAATATTATGGTGCTTTTGCACAGCATGGTACGGCACTGCTCGGTTCGGTACGGCTCACTTTTGGGGGGTTTTCACTGTGTACAGTACCTGATACCGTGTACTTTTTTCGTACCGTTACCAAAATGTAACGTGTAAACCCTGCTGATCACTGATTGGCCGGAGAGAATAGTCACTACCTGCGTCACTGAACTTGCGACACCAGACACCAGACCCGCTATACTGTATTTAAATCAGTACAACCAGCGAAGGATCGAACGCAACTGTTTTGAACGAGCGCACCTTTTTTTAACAACCAAAAAATGGCTGTTTCATGGTCTGTTGAGGAAGTACAGATGTTCCTCTCGTTGATAGCCAAGGAGCGGATCCAGCGAGAGTTTGATGGGGCGACTCAGAATGAAAAAGTTTTTCAGGAGGTCGCTCAGCTCTTGGCTGCGACGTGTATAATCCCGCCCACTCTAAAGTGGTACTAAACTGCAGTGGAAACGTAAACCAAGCCCCAAGCGGAGTCGTACCACGCAGTGGAAAAGCACCATTAGACTGCTGTCACTTTAAGAGCTGCCCGGATCCAACATCCTGTTTTCTTTCTCAGTTGTTTGCTTTCACTTAAGACCTAAATTACTGTGTACGAGGATACTTGCAAAGACGGCCCTTTTGTGTGTGTATTTAACTGTTCAAGGCCTATAAAGTGGCAAAATTAACTTCGTTCAATAATCCAGCGTTCAATGAGCACTGTATCCGGTATATCGCCTACCCCAAAATGGAAGTAAGGAAAGTGGTAAAGGTTGTAAGATGTGTTTGTATTTAATCATAAAAACCTGACAAATAAGTTTGAACTTTCTAAATTTAGAATAAATATTTAGAACCACCTGAAACCACACATAACAAAACTTTTCAGCTTTTTTTTTGCTTGTGCATATATAGATATACTGTATATAGATGAATATTATATATGGGTCAAAGAAACAATAAAAGCTTTCTGAGCAAAAATAATGACAATCATATATTTTTACCATGATTTACAAAAGACATCCAGTAAAATGTCATTCAGTGTAACAATAATTCATCAGGCATATTTAGAACAAAAATCATTGGATGACCTTAAAAGACTCTTTTTATGGATAATCACATTGCAGCCCCTAAAACTAATCAACTGCATTTTATAATCTGTACCACTACCAGTGTCTTTGCCACTATTCTTCAAACCACTAGGTTTTACCCATTTGTCAGTAAGAAGTTTTTAATCATTTAAAATGTAAAAAATTAGTGTAATTACTTTTTCTTTTATGTATTTTAATAAGTACGTCAGATTAAGTATGTTGTTTCATTTTTACAAACATATATCTGTTACACTGATTATGGAACATTATTTCACCCATATTTTGAATATATTTTGAATTTTATTTTTACAAAGTTATCTGAAACATTAAAGTAGACACTTTACTTGCATTTAATATGCTTTTTAATTTAATGCAGACACCAAAATGGGACGCATCAAATATGTATTAGAATTAAATGCATTTTTAGAACTATTTCAAAGTAACACACACAATGTCTACACCAAAAAATTATAAGTTTGACCAATAATTGAACTAAACAAGAGTTTCCACAGCACCTAGGGGCATCAACACTAGTGAAGAAAATGTTATTTGTTAGCACACACACTCTGTCCTGCTCTTGATTTTCCAGTTATCGCCTGCAGCAAACATCTACCACAACAACAACCCTGATACACACGTACAACCATACAGTACATCAAGAGCAAAGGCACAGAGACGTACTGTACTTTGCTAGAGGCTGCTGCTTTACCTTCATAATGTACACCAATGCGTGAAAATGGAATGGTGCTTACTTAGTCAATAAACCTGACCTTTCCCTCATGCTTTGAATTTCAATCTCAGGGTTTGAATGAAGTCACGTCGTGCCAAGATCCTCGGCAATCAACACTAAGCGCATCTCCAATCCAAATCTACTTTTCATCTCTCTCCTACCATACCATTACTCAAATCCTGAATTCCCAACCCTCTTCCTCTTTCTATCCCTCTATCAACCAGTCTGTGATTAGATCTTTTCTGCAGGCCTCAGAGCAGATGGGCTCCAGTCTGCAGCGTCCCAGGTGTGTAATGTCTCTGTGTGTGTGTGTGTGTGTGTGTGTGTGTGTGGCATATCTCAGCAGGTACAGAAAGCCAAAAAGGTTGAGAAATGAAAAGAGTGAGAAAGGCCAGAGCAAACAGAGATGGGCAGAAGTTGAACAGGAGCCAGCATATATCTGTGTAAAAAAAGACAGATATTTACCAGAGATCTGTGAAGAAGATCTCAGCGATGGAACAGAAGGCCACAGACATGTCCTTCTTTGAGACGGCACAGACAGATGGCAATGCAGCCGCTCCAAATGCACTAGCCTATCAGAACACAGAACCACATGTGACAATGAAATAAAATAATAATAATAATTCACCCTGTCATTGTTTACTCACCTTATGTTATTCCAAACCTGTCTAATGTTATTTTTTTAAGTGGAATTTAAAAATGAATTGTTCATCCTAGTGGCTCTCAAATTCCAAAAAGGACAAAAATCACCATAGATATCATGCGCTATATTCCAACATGATAGCTGTGAGTAATGAACAGACCAAATTTAAGTCATTATTCACTGCTCCACCGAGACTCTCAAAATAAATACGCCACCTGTTCTTATGGCTTCAGAAGACTTTTATCTTTTATTTATTTTATGTTTCTTTAACCTTTCATAGCACACATAGCACAAAAGTTTTATAATTATTTATGTTGAATTATAATATTTATAGTAACATAATATTTTATCAATCTTATAATATTGTTTTAAATTTTTTAATTAATTTATTACAATAATATTTTAACACACATTCAAGATGTTTAGTAGATATTCACAGTTTGTTATGATACATGCAAATTGTCAGCAGTGATTCTTCAGGGACCTCAGGGTTGCATAATTATTTAAGTGAATATATTGTTATTAACAGTATTAATATAACATTAAAATAATCTAACTCAATTTAAATGATAAAAAAACATGCAAAAAATATTTAAATATTTTTTTTAATTGTTGATGTTTTTTCAGCATTCAGTTCCTGATTTTTTTTTTCTTTTTTAATAAATAGTGGTTCATTTATATGTAAACATTCCTAGTTTCTGTTAATAAAAAATAAATAAAAACAATTAAAATGAAAGAGAAAAAAGCTAAAAATGAAAACTGGTGGGCCTTTGAATACTGTGTTATACAATACAATGGTAGCCCTTCAAGACAAAAAGTTTGAGGCCCACTGCTCTATAGGACTTTATTTTCTGCTTATGCTTTATTGCCCTCTAGTGCTGAAAGATTCAACTGCATATTTAGCACTAAATAAATCCTACAGCTGACTCCTCTTTGCTCAAACTAATACAACTATCCCTCAAGACAAGTCATTTAGACCACTGAGGATGTACATTTTATGCTGCCACAATGCTTAGAGCATTATTCATAGCATCTGAATTCAATACTCAGTAATGTATGCAAGGCCTGTGTGGTCATTGCAATTGATTACAGTTTGCTTTGATGTAAAACAATGTCTGTGACCAGCTGGTTTTCAATAACTCTCTACCTACAGGAACAAGACACATCTATCCTTCTGTCTTTTCCATTTACCAACCCTGTGTAGACAGACGCAAGCAGCGCACACAGGCATACTATGAGACCAGCTCAGCATAACTAAATGCCTCCTGCTATTATGTCAGTGCTAATTCTGTGCCTTCCAGAAAGCATTGCTCTGATTCAGCAGCTAACTTAGTAATCGATGCAAAGAAAGTGCTGTCCATTGGGAAAATGCACCACAATGATGGAATACATCCATTATTCATTAGCCAAAGCTCTCAGGGTTCTAAACAAAATGACAATTCCTTTGTATCTTAGGGAGTGAAATTCTGTTTACATCTGGTCTTAGATAGTCTCTATCATTTTCAGGGTTCTGTCGAACTTTAAAACACATACTACAGTCACATTATATTTTACTGTGTTAACCTGCTACAACTGTATGCATACTGTGTTGTGGTTTATTCTAGCTATAACTTACTGACTCATCTCAGTACTTGTATCTTTTATATTTACTAAACTAGAACTGTATGTGCAACTTCAGTCCAGCACTTGAGGTTCAACCTCAGCTCTTCTCTTGTAGTATTAGCTACAGGGTTGCCAGGTTTTCACAACAAAACCTGCCCAAATGCTACTCAAACTAGCACAAAATTAGCCCAATTGCGTTTCGAGGGGGGTCCCCCGTGAAAAATCGCATTCCGGGGGGTAAAATACACGTAAAATTCGCATTTCAGGGGCTAAATATCACGTTATTGGGGTTACTTCAACCCGCGGACATGAAAAACAAGCCGCAGCAACAGTGTCAAGGTAGCCCAATTCCCCAGGAAAAACGCAGACTTGGCAACACTGATTATCTGCCTGCTTTACTGTAGGTCATCGCAAATTCCACAACATAGTGTAGACTGGGGCTAGTTGTCACACAGATTAGGGATGGAACGATTACCGGTTTCACGATAAATCACGATAAAATGCCCTGACGGTTAGTATTATCGTTTAAAATTTAATTATCATCAAACCCGTATTTGATTATCGCGCTTTTCAAAACTCGCGGTAAATCCTGTCCAGCCAGCATCAGTCTGACGCAGAAGCAGCATGCAATGTGGTTGTTTCATCCAGCTACAAAATTTGGCTCCTGATGTAAACTAATGTGCTTCACAGAGAGGCTATACTTTTTATAGATATGCTTTCGTCCTTAATGAACTACACTATTGTGCATTCAAACACAGTGCTCAGAGATCCTTCTATGGAAGGATCAAATGAATAGATACTTCTTCAAATTCTTGCTCTTAGTGATGTTTTCTATCATTTACGGTCTCCAGACTTGCCTTTCATATAAGACTTGAAAAGACATGAGATAAAATAAGAAGAGCATTAACAATGTGGTGCATGATTCAGCCTATAGACAGTTAGATGCACACACCCGTACGAACATACATACACAGAAAAGACTGTCAGCTGGACAAACGAGGCATTCTGATTGGCATATTATTGGAATATATAAACCTTCTGTGACAACACTCCCCAATATGGCCATTTAGACTTAAATTTAAGATCATCTAATTTCAGAGGGTTTTGAATTCGTTTTTGAAACCAACAGACAAAACTAATGTTACTGAAACAAGCACTTGTATAAATAGAAATCTCAGAATATTTATTTACCTACATATAACCCTGGATTTAACTTCACTATGTGAAAATATCTCTGGTTTCAGTTACATTTCACCTAGATTTGCAAGTTCCTCTGATAAGAAAATCAGCCAATAACCTGTAGACTTCCATTCAAAAGATTGCGGTTGGTAAGATTTTTTAAACGGGATTTGATAGAAGTCTTTTATGTTGAACAAAGCTGTATTCATTTTATCAAAAATACAGTACAACATTAATTTTGCAACATATATTTACACTTTAAAAGAACTATTTTAAAAATGTAACATATTCCTGTGATGGCAAAGCTGAATTTTCAAGAGCCATTACTTCAATCTTCTGTGTCACATGATTCTACAGAAATCATCCTAATATGACATTTCTTATTATTATCACTGTTGAAAACAATTGTACTGCTTAATAGTTTTGTGAAAACCATGATAAATATTTTTCAGAATTCTTTAAAGAATAGAAAGTTCAAAGGAACGTAATTTATTTGTCAGAATTTCTTTTTTTTTTTTGGAACAAATTTCTTTCAAAAATCCCAAATCCCAAACATTTGAATGGTAGTTTATGCAAATGTGTAAATGAAATAATCAAGTGAACTAAAAATCTATGTAAAATGCTTGAACTGTGTATCAGCAGTGTCTTGCCTCATTGGTGTGTTTGTCCATGACGTTGAGCATGACCTCAGTTCCTTTACTGAAGTATTGTACAGCCTCTATGCCTGTGTGAATCTGCCCCAGGTACATGTACTTACTGTGGCCCTCCTCTGGACTGAGCTCCACAGCCTTCAGATACACGTATACCACTGTTAAGGACCGTAACACTCAAATACAATCATACGCTCTTCAAGAAAAGGAAAAACAAGACTAGAGGCTTCACGAGGATAGTACAGGATAAACATATTCAAGTGATTTCTATGTACTGTGGTAGTACGTGTAAAGGATATCTGTTTAGCTTTCTCTATATCTCCCAGCTCAGTGCAGATGTTCCCCATCATGTCCAGGAGGGTCAGGTTAGTGGGTTCAATATCCAGCGCTCGCTGACAGTACAGCCTGGCCATGTCAAAGTCAAAGTTGTCTATACACTCTTCAGTCTGAGAAGGAAAGAGAGGTACAGTAGTACAGTCTGAAAACAAACACTAATATTTCATGTCTTTAAGAGGTCATTATAGGAAATATATTACCTTTTCAATTAGTTGATCAGTTGTGTATTTTCCAGCTGTTTTCTTTTTGGCTCTTTCCTGCATCTTGGCTTTCATTCTCTCCTGTGGTGACATCAAGGCACCTGGACATCAAGAACAGATTTTCACAAACCACTCACATAAGCAAACCTTCCTGCACAGGATTCAGCTGCAAAATCTGTTAAATGTGAATAGGTCTAGGTTAAGCACAGCTATGACAAGTTTGACAACCCTTCTTCAATAAACTCTACATAGCATTACTCAGATCACATGGATATTAAATGTCATGTTTACATTAAACCGTTACTGTCAAAGCAAACACTGGTGAATACTAGTGTGCAGTCTATAGCAAGAAACAGTTTTAATTAATGTGGCATTTTTAAAAACGTGTTTTAAAGTCATTATTTTCGTGAAATAAAAGCAAAATGACCAGACCGTTTAACACTATAGATTCTTAAAACAGACATACCTCCAGTTGGTTTAGTGTCTTTTCTCTTAGCTTTGTTTTTCTTTTTAGATTTTGCTTGTCCGCCCATTGTTGTTAGATCAAATCTGTGAATTTATGTCACTTTTTATAAAGGGGGAAATACTTCTCCACTAGATGTGCGTTCACTTGCCAACGTGAAAGCATGCATGGGCTACAACGTGAACCAAATATATTGACTTCCTGTTAAGTCACATCTTTAACAAAATAAAAGTCTCTAAGCTTTTTTTTTTTTTTTGGTGCGTCTGTCGTTGAAACCTGGTTGAAACGCATATAACTGCTTCTCTTCTCATTGCATTTCTCAGTGCAAGATATATTGCTTGAATGCATCATTGTATAAACAATGGAAAGGATTTCATTAAATACAGTTTATTTTATTCATTGAAATATTTGTAGTGAAAATAAGTGACTATACATGCTAAAATGTAAATAAATAAAAACTGCAAAAAAAAAAGAATTATATACGTTTTTAAAATGAAGTTTATTCAGTCATTTTTCATTATTGACCATTTCATTGCCAATTTATACATATCATGTGCTCACAAAATTTCCTCGTTACCCGAAGGTACCTTGCATTATGCAGTGCAAATATGCAGTGTTCATCTATTTACAATGTTTAGGTGGTAATATATCCATTATTTTCTGACCATCTATTCACTGTACACTTTGTTAGGTTACATTCTCGGCAATACATCACTATAACCTCTGTGGGTGCGCCTGCTTCACAGTTGGTATTTTAAGAATTTATGGCTGCCTAATCTCTTTATTATATAACATTGCTTAGCCAAGCTTTCTGTATATTCAAGCTCAGCTTCCGTATTGTAGGCGGGCACAACATACGACGTTGCCGTATGATTGATGGGCGGAATAACCAATCAGACCTCTCCCTCGCTCGACGTCACCAGAACCTTCTCGATTTGAACCAATCTCTCACAAAGTCGAACTTGAGGTGGAGGCACGTAGTAAACAAACTGAATGGATCATAGTCATAGAGCACTCAGTCTGCAGTTACCTCAGCGAGCATTTTTCATTGAATTTCTCCGTATTTTCTCTGGGTGTTGTCGAGCGGAGTTGACAGTCGTTGACTAACTTAACTTAAAACGGGCTGTCGGAGGAACAAGCTAAACGTTTGTTTTGGACGTTTAATAACGCAACAAGCCACAGACCGTATGGTGAGTGAGTTACTTCAGTGATGACATACCAGGCCTGTCCAGTTAAACAGACAGAACAGAAACCTCGAATTAAGGAACTGAATACAACTTAAGACGTAAGATAGCATTCATTTCAGACACAAAGCGAACCTGTAGGTTAATAGAGCTGTTGTTACAGGCTGCGTTTTCAAAAGCTAACGTTCTTTAACATTTTTGGCGCGAGCGTTCGATCACTCATCGCTTGTGGGGCAGTTTACGCTTCAGTAGCGCATCTGTGGCCAATGCCACCTGCTCACCCAAGCCAAAACTTTAAGATTGAGCGGAATACAAAAGCAGGCCAGGACGAATTCGCCAGCCACGTCGCGTGCACTACAACGGTTAGCTGTCACAAGGATCTCCATTGGTCTCGATGCATGGTTTGAGTTAATATTGACGAAAATCAATAACAGAAATGTCAGATACTAATAAAGAAGTAGTGGATCTGGTGTGGGGCAGACCCGGTGGCGGAGGAGTGCCTGCATCCCTCTTCCGCAGGTGGTCACAAGGTAAGCGGTCTTGATAGTTTTTGATGCTTTAATAGATACTAAAAGAAGTCTTACGAATGCTGACTCAGATTTTCAAGGTTGAAACTCTCAGTTTAAAGGATATACATCCATTACTTGTATTGTAAAATCTGCAGTGGTCAGCAAAGAAGACCAATGCCAAGACCATGTTACTTTAGCCTGACTGCTTGCTCAGTTATAAATTGTGATGAATTGCTAAGCTGAGACTTGTGACATTGACTGTGGTTTGTGTTCACTGTTTCTTTCCACAGGCTTTGTGTACAGTGAGGCTGAACGCTCTGCACTGGAGCAGTTTGAAGGTGGACCGTGTGCTGTCATTGCACCTGTGCAGGTATTCGCCTTATTTTTTCTGTTCATAGGTTACTTTACAAAGGCGTGGATTTACGCATACTTCATTACTGACTAAGCATCATAAGTTATGATGCTTAGTCAGTAATGAAGTATGCGTACATCCACGCCTTTGTAAAGTCCACAATATAAAAGCTGCACTGCAGTGATGTAATATAAAGGTTGGTGACAAATTAAAGGTAAATCCAGAGAAACCAGAACCATGCCGGCATAATTTTTCTAAGTAATTACGTTTATCCCATCCTGATGGGACTGTTCAGGATTGACAATGGTCCCATCCTTAGGGCGCATGGGGTCACTGATTGGTTTGATGGGTAATTTTTGACAGCAGTGAAAACGAGGCTGTGAGGGACTGAAGTACAGTGCAGGGCTCGCAAAATCGCTAGCCCGACGTCTCGGGGCTATTGTGTTTTCCAGTCGGCTACCAAAATGTATCACCACTCTGCCCGACGGGCTACCTTTAATACAGATCTCCTGAGGGTCCTTAAAAACTAATAAAGTGAGTTGTATCAAACTTAAGGCCACAAAAAAAGTGGGGGTGGGGGGGGTTGGTTTTGTGTTTGCGGAACGATGTATGTTATAACACATCGTGTACACTCACTAAACAAAGAGTGACAGAGCAGAGCCAATTCATAAAAGAACAATATTTAAAAGCACACGTCCAGTTGTGAGTGAAGGAAATCCGCTTGGGAGTGGAGAGATTCGTCCTCGCGCACATGGATCGCGTAACATTATGCGCTCTCGACATTGTCATTAAGATCACACTATAGAAACCGCCTAAAATTAAGTATAAAGAAGAGAAGAAAGCGGCCCTAGGCAGCTGCCTACACATGCCAGGATCCACCACTGCCAGATGCAGTTAGAAATTTACTAAAAACAAGCCTATTGCAAGACATCTGGTAGGGGGGGCACCTGGGACCAGTAGACACGCCCCTGTTTATGAGCACGGAGCTGCTTTGTGTACAGCCGTTACCGGGGAAACCGCAATATTTCAGGGCTCCTAAAGCTCCACCTCATGGCAGAAAATGAATTTGCATTTCCAACAAGCCTTTCTTGCTATTTATGGTCCGATCAATGCAAATATCAACTCATGTTTTTATGTAGCAAACACATAGAGTTGTAAATGAGAAAGAAGTTAATGTGCCTTTTAATGCGCCTAAATCTAAACAATTAAGACAGTAATATTTATACGTTTTAAATTGACATAATAATTTATATGCTTGATTTATCCCTTTTCATAAAAATGGTCTAAAGGCTGAAATGCTGTTGTATAAGATTTTTGTTTTTGTGAAAACCTGTATCTGAACTGTAAATCATGTAGTTTTATGGCTCAATACTGTATGTTACCATGGACATTGTCCAACCCCACTCATAATGTGTTCATTTTACTTGTGCAGCTCTTAAAATGGGTCATAAATCGCCTTAAATTTATTTGTAAAAATTCTGCAGATACCCTGTAAATAGTGAAATAAAATTCCTTCCTTCATATTTGTTGATATTTGTGTATTGAAAATATTTTTGATTGACATTTAAACTCATATCCTTTTTTGGGGGGGGGCTAGTTAAATACATTTTTGGTCTACCAAAATCTGAAGAGTACCTGCCCGAAGGGCTACCAGGGATTTTGAAATTTTGCGAGCCCTGCAGTGTATTCAAACTGTTTAACAGATTATGAAGTGTCTCTCCAAAAACTTTTCTACAGTGTATGCCATTGTAAAGACACGTTCATCAAGAACAATAACTATATCAGCGTCCAGACCAAAGCATGATAATATTGTTTATTATAAGTGCAAACTAGCTTTAAATGTTGGAGGTTTTTTTATCATTCATCTACGGTGGCCGACAGAGCTCAACGCTCTGCAAATAGAAAAAGCACCTGCAAATTAAGAAAGCGACTTCATCAATTTGACAACACGCTGCAAATGCTCACAATACAACCAAATAAAGAAACGCGCTGCAAATAGAAAAAAAACACCTGCAAATTAAGAAAACAACTTCATCAATTTGACAACACACACGCTGCAAATTCTCACAACACAACCAAACGCGTTTCTGTATTTGTTTGCGTTGTGAGCATTTGCAGCACCTGCTGTCAAACTGATGAAGATGTTTTCTTGATTTGCTGGTGCTTTTTCTATTTGCATGTGTTTTCTGAAGTTGCAGCACGTTGAGTTCTCTCGGCCACCGTATTCATCAGCTAGAAAAAAAAACTCATTGGGAAAGGGATTCCAACAATACTGTTGTTCTGTGCCATTATCATTATCGTTATCATTGTGGTGTGGACTCTACAATTTTTTTACATTTAGAACAATTTTTAAATTGTCTTTATCGTTCTCATCCTTTGTGTATACCTATGGAAGATTTTTGACCAACGTCTTAGCAGTGCAATTAATCGAAAAACGGTTTCGATTTCGATTTTGGCCTCCAACGATTATGAAAATACAGTAATTGAGATAAAACGATTATTGCACCCCATTCCGCCCCCTTTTCCAGCGGTGCGCTTTCGTTCCTCCATAATCGTGATTATGATTTTTGCCATAATCGAGCAGCCCTATCCTCCACCACCATTATCAAAACACTTTTATAAGAATGGTATTGAATCCCACCAAGAGAGATCCAGAGACTTGTCGAATCAAAGCCAGGGTTCATTGTAGTTGTGGTGGCACTTTTTAGCCCAACACTCTGCCAAGATACTTTAAGTTTTTCCTTTAATTTGTCACCTGTCTGCAGATATAAGATTTATAACTTATATCAGTCTGCAGATTCTGAGCGGTCGGAGTTGATCAATTTCATAAATCTTATATTGTCTGATGGGCACAGATTCTGATTTTTTTTCCCGTCCGACTAAGGATTCAGTCTAGTTGGGAGGACATCAAATGTTTTTAATATTTTGACCCGATTTTAGAACATATTGTTTTCATTTGTCATGCATCTCCTAGCATATTTCTGCGTGAGTTTGTGTAGAGAGAAAATACCTGAAAGTCTGCTAGTGTGTGATCCTCAGTTGCTTAGTGTTCTTTGTAACCACTTACAAAGTTGGCAAGTGTATGATACCTGCTGTTTTAAAATCTGTTCAGATTTTAAGTCATTTTTTGTATTCCAGCCGTTAGTCTTGCACTGACATTCCATATCTAT